AGCTCGAGTTGCTCAGAATGTCATCATTACACGAGAAAGTCGCGCTGTACAATTGTATGTGTTAGTACAACAGATCCACTGCAAGAACTTAGGGAGATGTGCTTGCGAATCGTAACTGGTGTGTCATCAGCATCAAGAAGTGAAAGATTGTGTGCCTGCTCTGCATTTTGAACTTGACAATGTGTGTGCTGCTCTTAAGAACATGGAAGGAAATGTTCTGCCCAACATGGCAAAGGAGTGCCTTGCTGATGCTGTGATCGGAAAGACAGTCAGTAGGAGTAGTTGGTTAAATGTAAAGAATTTTGTCCAAGGACTTTGAAACACTGAGCCTAAAGGGAGGAATTGCTTAGTTGTATGAGTAATGAAGGTGTGATAAATATTCATTGTGAAAATTTCATGACTGTCCTTGCTGTGTATTTCTTGTCTATATCCTTACCTATTTACTATGTGCATGGTTCTATAACTCAGGTGAAGGAAATAAGTGCAGTTTAATTAAAAGATTAGATAGGTAATGTCATCTACCATCAATGTTGTATTGAAATGTAATGAAGGACAAGGCAGGTGTTTGAGAAAGTACTATGTATTATTTTTATTATTATTATTATTATTACTATTACTATTATTACTGTAGTATCTGTACGTACTTGAGTTTAAAATATCCTAAGTACTGTAAAAGCTGGGGATTAATTCAAGAAATGTATTTGAATTGTGACCATCCTCGCACATCGATTTTCTATTATTGGTGGTTCCAATATTATTTCATTAGAATTTTCAGTTATCTGTAATATAGTGTATAAAGTTAATTTTTTTTAATCTGATTATTTCTCTCCAATATTACTATTCAGTGTAATAATTAGTCTGAGTAGAAATAAGGTTTGTAGAGGTGAGTTGGCCTCCTGTTTTAGGGGTGTTGTGAAGAGCTTGCATACACAAGTGGGAATTCTGTTCAAACAATGGAGGGAAGCACGAGAAGAGGAACTTTGTAGACTAGCCTCCACTCCCATCTCCTTTGTCGGCTTAAGCAGTTTTTTTGACTGTTCATGTACACCTATCTGCCGCTAACAAGGTTTAGCAGCAACCAGGCTCCCCCTCCCCCAAGAGATGCCTACATAACTGTAGAAGAGTATCGGTTGCTGAAGAGATACTGGGGAAAGGAGATAGTCTTCTAGAGTCCTTGAAAACCCTAGCCCTGGAGGATCAGTCCAGGCTTGTAATCTAGGATCTTGGAAGACCTCAGTAGTGACTCGAAGATGGAATGTATCAAGGCAGTAAATCAAGGGAGGTAACCCCAGACAGTATGTCAAAGCAAAGGAGTTCCTCGGGAACGGTGTACTGTGATTGTTATAATATCAGTAAGCAGGTTCTACTGTAATATTAGGTATTGGCTGCTAGCAATTTTTATTCTTGGGTGCCAATGATTTCAGATTCCCTTGTAATGTGTTTATTAAATTGTAAGTGGTTTTATCGGAGCATGTTTTACTTCCCGCTTTGAGCCTTGTATATAAGGTCCATTAGTCTGAAGTTAACATGGAAAAACGTATAACCTATTGATGATATTTTTTTTGGAGAGTCAAGCCCCTGATAAGGTGCCTACTGCTCAAGTTGCAGGCCAAGCTACCCTAAGAGCCAGTACTTATCAGGACCCCGATCTTGTTGTAACTTTCCTGTATTATTTCTCACTGGGTTTTCTCCTGCTCTATCCCAAATTCCAAGTTTTCCCCACTTGTCCTATGCCTATAGTTACTTTTATCTCTTCCACTATTAAAAGAGCAGGTGGTGGCAGCATACTTCCAAGAGAATAGAGCGCTACCTTCTATTCTCTCATATTCTAGTAATTTCCCCTTGTTATTTGTTCTCTATATTCTCATACTTTTCTCCACTCCGAGTCTCTACCTGAGGAAACAGACAATATGGCATCGCCGGGTGCTTTGTCCACCCTAAGGTGAGGCTGGGGTGGAAGATGCGGCACTTCATGTTTCTTAGAAGCTTGAGAGGACACTGAGGTAGGGTCATCAGTGATACGTAGAAGTTATTTGGAATGAAGGTTAGAGCAACTGTCCAAAGTCATGTGCACAATTCATAAATCATGGTACCAGAGGAGGGTAATGGAACTTTACCTGGAGCAGGTACCAGGTTGGAAGAAAGGTTCCGAGAATGGTCTGAAGAAGCGCCAGGGTCTGTAGGGGGTGCTGCAGGAAAGAGCCTGGGAGGAGGCAAGTCATGGTTATAGGTCTCCATGATCAGCTTCCCCTTTATTTATATATTTATTTATTTACTTAAAAAAGGGGAGAAAGAAAGGGGGGAGGAAGGGAATGTGGAGGGATAGCTCCCAGAAGGAATGAAAGGGATTGTATATCTTCCCTCCATGCACAAGAGGGCCCACAGTGCAGATATGTGAAATCCGTGCCATACTCTACCCTTCATGCCAGTAAACCAGCAATCCAGAATAGCAACCTCACATCCAACAAGCCACCTCAGTGGACAAAAGAGGGCAGCTGGAAATCTGCCACAAGGCATACCTCCAAACTACAGTACTGGTGGAGCTCAAACTCATGGCAACTGAGTCGTAAAACTCCAGGCCAGTGTGTAAGCCACTGAGCCAGCTACTACGATATGATTCATCTAACTAGGTATATTTATACACCATAGGGAGGTTAGCACAGGCCCCATTGTGGCCACAAATGAAAGTTGTAATGAATGAATGAATCTCCTCCCAGTATGGCCGTGACTAGCTCAAGTCCCCTCAAAGCTGTCATCATGACTCACGTAAACATAACACGATTGCAAATAAACCACAGTACTTGAGAGGGGAGGCATGGGGGATAAAGGAGGGATGGGGAAAGGACAGAGAAGAGAAAGGAGGGATGGGAATGATGAGGCAGAGACAGGGGGGGGGGGGGATTGGGAGTAATTAGGTTCAGCTGGAGGAAGAAGACCAAAGGGTCCAATTCCTTGGATCAAAAGCCTCTTCACTGTAAATATTAACATATAATTTCAAGGAAATGATCGTGGCTTGAGTAATGTAGCGCTGGTAATGCACCCAAGGGCAAAGTTGAGCTGTTTCGATTAATGTTAAATGATATGATACACAGAGAGCTCCTTTTATTTCAACTGTATAATGCTGATGAGAGTAGTCTCTTTTGGCATTTGCTGCTGTTCAATATACTAGTCTTTCATCATGAAGAATGAACACAATGTCGTAAGCTCAGCAATCACCGCTTCTCAGTTATGCTGTGCTAATGTTGAAACTGGGTGTCAAAGGCAAATCAGCACGGCTTGTGTTCATCATGAAGAATGAACACAATGTCGTAAGCTCAGCAATCACCGCTTCTCAGTTATGCTGTGCTAATGTTGAAACTGGGTGTCAAAGGCAAATCAGCACGGCTTGTGCTTAAAGGGCTGCATTATTCAATGTGTTACTAGTCAATTATTACAAGGGTAAGAAAGGCTGGTTTGACAGGGATGTACTTTGTGCCTGGTTATTTCACACATTTCATCCTTGAAATGTGTGAAGTACCAGCTAGAGGTCCTTAAACTAGATTCCAAGGATGTCAAGGCTCTTCTGCTGCTTGATAATGCACCTGTTCACCCAAGGAATGAGAAGTTAAGCAGCACAGACAGTAAATTAAGGCCACATTTCTGCCCCCTGATCCAACCTGTGTATCAGAGGGTTAATGCAGCCTGCAAGAGGCTGTATCAGTCTAGGTACATCAGTGAAGTACTGGTAGTGATTGAGGATGATGCAGATTTGGAAAGACACACCAAAGACACACCAGAAGCCTATGTACACTGGACAGCATCAAAAAGTCTGCAGTCTTCAACCTTGCGGCAATATGGGAGAAACTGAAAAGGCCAACATTAGCTAGTGGTTTGAATTTTTTTTTTTTTATATAACCTTGATATTGAGTTGGACTCTAAAGAGGTTTGAGGCCAGTGATTTTCATCATGCCCTTCAGAGGGTGGGAGCAACAGAAGTTACAAAGGAAGATGTGATAGCATAGTTTGAAAATGGTGAGCCTGGTTACCAAATTCTGTGATGCAGAAATTGCAGAGCAGTCACCTGGCATAAAAGAACAGGGGATTGATGATTGATGATGATTGATGATGATTGATGATGATTGATGATGACTGATGATGATGATGACTGATGATGGTGGTGATGGTGATGATGAAGAAGAGATTGAGGGGCCACCAAAACTGTCAATTATACACGATTCAATTGATGTTCTCATTAGGTACACTGATCTCTGACAAAGTGAAGGCCCATTATCCACACACAGGAATTCTTAGAGAATGTATCATAAGGGACCAGCAGCAATGTGGTAAACAATTGAAGCTGGATACATTCAACATCTCAGCTATCTACATTATTTTCACTACAAGAGCTTTACAGCTCCTCTGATTCAGAATTTAAATTATTCTGAATCACCACCACTAATCACAGCAGTGTACACATTATCACTCCAACATGAAAGTAAAATTACCGTAAATTACATACAGTCTATAAAATTACTACACAGTACAGTGCTGTAATAATACAGGTTACAATACTTGCATTCTTAGTGTCCAGTTGTCTTCTGCATTAGTGGACCAAGTCCGCTAGCTCAAAAGGCAGCCAGATCCTAAATTTATTTCAAAGACTGGAAGTTGTGAATAATCAACAATGTTGAACACATCCCCTTCCCTGAATTAGTTCATTAATGAAAGTTCATTGTATATTCAACTCAGTCCAGTAAGCCCCTGTTGAACCTCCCCACTCTTCAAATGCTTAATAACTATTAAGGCAACATAAACTGTATTTTTTTTATAAACTAGGACATTTTAAATATGTGGTTTTGGTACTTTGGAGGTGTTTTTGGAACAACCCTATTTTCCCCATTGTTTTTCTGATTAGTTAATGCTAAATTAGATTTCATGCCAATTTTCAGGAATGTAACCCACATTAATTGACAATCAAATGAATATAAATTAACAATAATTTACTAGTTCTAAGATAATACCTGTGATGATGAATCAGAGAGGATGTTGAAGACTGAGTTTTCCCGTCGGTGGAGCCGACCTGCACACGCCTCGAGGTTAGCAATTTCTGCCTCTGATGGAACAGTCCTCTCATTCTGAGCATCACAAGGCCGTTCTTCTTTCTTTGGTCGGTGAGAAAAACAAACATTCTCATATTTTGGACTGGAAAGCTGGTTATGGAAGCTGATGCTACGACCAAACTTTTCCAGTGGACTGTATTCCTTGGCAGGGCTGACTTCGGGTGCTGAGACAGACCCTAGATTATTATTATTGGTTTTAGTGTTGGTTTTATTTATATTTTTGCTAAAGCTGCTAGGTCCTGATCCTCGGTCTTCTCTTTCTCGCAGTGTCGCTTCACTACTTCCAATGGGCCGAGAAAATCGTGCTCCCAATTCATATCTTTCGGAATTACTGTCATCTCCATCTTCGTCATCGGCATCTTCACAAAAGTCATCAATCATATCCATAATATCTGCCTCACCCAAATTGTTTTCAACACTGTCATTATCAGGAGGATCATATTCATCATCTTGGGCCTGAGGTGCAGGTATATCCATCACTTGACCTTGGACATCATAAAATTCATTTAATTCTACATTCAAATCTTTTGGGACATTCATTCCATTTCTTGGCACATTTAGTGGACTATTTCTTGCACTGGGTCTGTCGTCAAAACCAATATCTGGACCTCTCCCAATATTAAATGGAGAGTGGATTTCATGTACACTCAAATTCAAGGCCACATTATCAATTTTACCATCACATATACTAGACTCGCACCTTTTACACATTAGGTTTCTCATTTCCGAGCAATAATTATTAGCTTTTCTATCTAAAACACTTATAGGACTGAAAGCACCAGCAGCACTAAATGCAGCATGTTCTCTGTTTAAGAATCTACTATCACACTCATCAACACAATTATCTTCACAGTCAGAATCTATATCCCCATCACCATTAGGTCCTGGGTCAAAATCCATTTCTAAAAAATCCATATCTGGAGAAAACAAGTTATTCTGTTCAGGCAGGTCTTGTCTTCCAGAGCGTAACCTGTGAGCTAACATTCCAGGATCATCAGCACTACGTTCTGTATTTGGCAAGCCACAACTGAAGTACATATCAATCAAATGAGAAGGATTAGCCTCAAAATTTTCTCCCTTGTATGTATATATACAACCATCATCTTCATCTTCCTCCTCCCCATTGAGAAGATTAAGCTGGTCAGGATATCCAGAAGCATCTCTGCTTGGACTAGACTCATTGTGTCTCATCAATGGCTGCTGCCTGCCAGAGTTGGGAGAGGCATGCATCTGAAAATATTCATCCATCCCATCCTTGACTGAGGTTCCCTTCTCAGGATAAACATTATTGTTTACTTTAGCTGGAAACTTATGATAGAGACAATAAGATTTTTCATCAACGCACGTAAGATTACACTTTTCCTCAATTAAGTTATTGTTAAGCAGGGATTGTTCACTATGTCTTTCACCTGATTGTGTTGCAACCCCACTAGGCTGCAAGGGATGTCCTGATTGAGCCTTGTGTATACCATTGACTGCCACCACCCCATTTGTGACAGAGAGTGTACGAGATGGTTTCATCACTTCACGAGTTAGTGCATTCTTTTCCTCTTGACTCCATCTTCCTCCTGATGCTATTAAAAAATAAAAGGGATGAGAAAAAAAAAAAATTCTTAATTTATTCCATTGTGAAATCACGTAAAATGAGTTTCTTGAAACATCTATACCCATAACTCGAGCATTATTTAATCAAGGTTATACACAAAATTTAATTTATCTTCTATCATATTCATATTTATTTTCAATAATTTGCATAGACCTTTGGCTGAAATGAGCAGATCATTTTTATAATTGCTAATACTGATCGAATTTCACTTCAGCCTACTTTACAAGAAGAATGATTTTACTTTGATAAATTGTGATAAAACTAAGTTTTACAGCATAAGAAATTTATAAACACCATGTACTGTATAAATATTACAAACAATAAATTTTACCTTAAATAATTAACCCTCTCAAGGTACAGATCTTCAATGTGAAACTTGCTCTCAGGTTACAAAAAATTTTCAAATTTAGAAAAAAAAAATTATGGAATGATAATCTTTTTCCAAAGGTAATAGCACCAAAAGTACAAAATTTGGATGAAAACTTATGGACTTATGCTTTCTCAAAAGTTAGCAGTCTCGGCAATATTTATGCACCAGCTATATCACCCAATTTGAGTCCTATTTTAAGCCAATTCCATTGTCCCACTTGAAGAAACTCGTTGATAATTCACTAGTGTGCCTTCCATTCTATCTACTGAGCACAAAAACTGTCCCTTTAACTACTTCAACTACCCAATAAAATCAGAAATCAGTAATTTGGCCAATTTCACACAAAATTAAAAAATGCCAATTTAAAAATAGGATCAAGAATAAACAATGTAGACATTCCTGACACTAAAGCAACATTTCATCTGTTCATTAGTTACATCCCCAGGCTTCTCCTATATTACACATGTTTTCCACTTTTAATTTTTATTCACACAAAAATTTTAAGTTTAATAATTGTACAAATGATGTCAGTGCATTTGTGAATGCATACCAGACTGGCCAGTTGGACAAGTATTAGATGAGTGACATGATTAGTGTCCTCTGGAATATTGATAAAAATCAAATATTTCCACTATTTTGAGCTAAATTTCAAGCTACTTCCAATCCTGAAACCAATCAAAATCATCTCCATTTCTGTAAAATATCTTCCATTCTATCAAATGAAACAAAGAAATTGAGAATGAAACAAAAAAAATCTAAAAAATACACTGCAAAGTTGCTATTTTAAACCATACATATGGTCACAGTTTTGTTGCTCCATCATGCACTACACGAGGCAGGATTTTTTTTTATATGGTGCACACTCACTGCATTCTCTCATATCTAGGCCAAAATTTACTGTTCTCAGCTTATATGAGTGAGCTGAGCTGATCACATAGTTCTACTGCATGGACCATGAGCTCGAAACCGTATTACTACAGCATGGGTCCTGAAAGGGTCGAGACCCCCAATCCTTAACTCACTCTCAGGGTCAAAAAATAAAAAAAATAAAAAATAAAATTTCTTATGAAATGATATAGAATCTTTTTCCAATAGTAATGACACCAAAAGTACGAAACTTGATGGGAAACTTACAAAAATACGCTCTCGTGAAGTTAGCGATATCGGCGATATTTACGTATCGGCAATTTTGCCAACTTTGAGCCCTACTTTCGGCCAATTCCATTGTTCCATTCAACTAAAATCATAGCTATTTCGCTAGAACTCCATTTGTTCCATCAACTGAGTACAAGAAACTGCCCATTTACCGATTTCAACCATCCAATAAAGTGGTCAGAAATTGGCAATTTGGAAAATTTCACACAAATTTCTAAAGATGCCAATTTCAAAATAGGGTCCAGAATAAACAAGACAGACATTCCAGGCACTAAAATAACATTTTCTCTGTTCATCAGTCATGTTGCCAGGCCCCTCTTATATTACTCTTGCTTTCCATTTTGAATTTTTTTCTCACAAAAAAAATTAGAAGATTTACTGCATTATTGTAAAAATGGTATAAATAATATCAGCACACTTGTGAAAGAATATTAGACTCACCAATTGCCATGTATTGGACGTGTGGCATGATTTATTTAATCTTGAACATCGGCAAAAATCGAACATTTCCACCACTCTGAACTCAATTTCAAGGTATTTTCATTGTGAAACCAATCAAAATCAATTCTATTTCTGTAATATATCTTCCATTCTATCAACTGAGACCAAGAAAACAAGACATACCATACAAAAATACACTGCAAATTCATAGTTTTAAACCAAAAACAAGGGCAGAGCTTTTTCCATTATGCACCGAGTGCTACAGTTATTTATAGTACTGCGCACAATGACATATGTAGGCCTACCAGCTTTCTTCCACAAGATATGAAGGCACTAGAATTTTGGCATATAAATGTGGGACTGACACTGGTTCTCAAGCCGTACATATACGGGACCAACCCTGAAAGGGTCAAGGGCCAGTGTTTTTTTTTTTTTTTTTTTTTTTCCAACAAGTCGGCCGTCTCCCACCGAGGCAGGGTGACCCAAAAAAGAAAGAAAATCCCCAAAAAGAAAATACTTTCATCATCATTCAACACTTTCACCACACTCGCACATTATCACTGTTTTTGCAGAGGTGCTCAGAATACAACAGTCTAGAAGCATACACATATAAAGATACACAACATATCCCTCCAAACTGCCAATATCCCAAACCCCTCCTTTAAGGGCCAGTGTTATCCTTAATTAAAACAAATCAATGATTTAGGTAACTAGTGAATAATGACTTATAATTTAAATTGCTTTTACATTTACATTAGTAAAATTATGCTTATGGTGTTCATTCTTCTACATAGAAATTAATAGGTCACACCTTACTAAAATTTTCATTTCTTGTGGTGGGAGAAGAAAATCCTGGAGCCAATCCCATTTGCTACAACCATGTATAAAGTACCATACTACTTCCCACCTGAACTTTACAAACACTATTTTTGTCACTTCAAAATAATAAGCTCATGTCCTACCTACTTCATTTATGATTTTCTGTTAACATTTAGAAAAGACATAGGTAGTAGGCTGGTAGATAGCAACTACCAAGGGAGGTACTACCATCCTACCAAGTGACTGTAAAACGGAAACCTGTAATTGTTTTACATGATGGTAGAATTGCTCATGTCTTTTTTTGTCTCATAAATATGCAAGGTTTCAGGTATGTCTTGCTACTTCTACTTACACTTAGGTCACACTACACATGCATGTACAAGCATATATATATATATACACCCCTCTGGGGTTTTCTTCTGTTTTCCTTACTACTTCTTGTCTCTTTGGGGAGGTGGAACAGAATTCTTCCTCTGTAATCCATGAGTGATGTAAGAGGCGACTAAAATGCCAGGAGTAAGGGGTTAGTAACCTCTTCTATATAAATTACTAAGTTTAAAAAGAGAAACTTTCATTTTTCTTTTTAGGTCACCCTGCCTCAGTGAGATATGGCTGGCTTGTTGAAAAAAAAATTATAAAAGAAAGGAAAAAAATACAGACATGCTATAAAATGACTCCCAAAGCTAAAAGAAAAAAATTATTTACAAAAAGTGAAAAATACTAATAGGAGAAGGTTGAAGTAAAACAAATGAGACATGATAATCACATGAAAGATCACAAAAGGATACAGAAAAAATTATGATTTTAGATCACAAACTGGCAGGAAAGAGAAAAAAAAATTGCAGAACTGTAAACTGAATACAAAGCAGTGCAAAAGTGAAACTATAAAGTTTGCCATCACAAAAAGTGGCACAATACTGGAATATGTCCCAAGGGGAATGCATTACAACCACTGGAAACAAACATTAAATGATAAACACTGAAAATGGGGCATTTCAGACATAACATTATTTCTCTAGTAGCTATAATCACAAATATTCACCCAAACCCAAAAGAACAAAAGGGGATGCTATTACCATTTTTTTTTTTTGATAGTACACCAGCCATCTCCTACCAAGATAGGATAACAAAAAAAAAAAAAATCTATCATTCATTCAACAGCTCTCTTGCTAGAAGTTAGTAGACATCACAGTTCAAATGACCCCCTCCCCCAAAACTGTACCATCCCTGCAACTCTCTCACACTGCAGAACCTATACCTCCCACCCTCAGGACTAAGTCCAATTAACCAGTTTCTCTAATCTTTTTAAAAATATTACCTTGCTCACACACCAACAGTATAAAAAAAATCAACAACCACTTCTCAGCCCTCTGAATTATACCTTCGGTAACCTCACATCATGTTCTAATGTCCACTTTCCAAATTTTATATAATATTCAAACCACTGCTCACAAACATGACATCTCCACTGCCTTTAACCACTACCTCACTGAAGTATTTAAAGCCCATGAATAATGGCCACATAAAAGTGTTGGTATGACTATACTTTGATGCATTCCCCTTCTAGCCTTCATAGAAAAAACATGCCTTTCCAAAGTTACCTTATCCCACCACCAACCTTTTTTTCTGATCTACTCTATGGTTCATCTTGCCTTTCATTAACCCATCTGCTAACATTTCTTTGTGTGATGATTCAAAATTCAAAATTGAGGGCAAGTGTTACAGTATGGGAGAGGCCTGGGGACATAAAAATTTTTTATTTTTTTTTTTTTATTATCACACTGGCCGATTCCCACCAAGGCAGGGCGGCCCGAAAAAGAAAAACTTTCACCATCATTCACTCCATCACTGTCTTGCCAGAAGGGTGCTTTACACTACAGTTTTTAAACTGCAACATTAACACCCCTCCTTCAGAGTGCAGGCACTGTACTTCAAATCTCCAGGACTCAAGTCCGGCCTGCCGGTTTCCCTGAACCCCTTCATAAATGTTACTTTGCTCACACTCCAACAGCACGTCAAGTATTAAAAACCATTTGTCTCCATTCACTCCTATCAAACACGCTCACACATGCCTGCTGGAAGTCCAAGCCCCTCGCACACAAAACCTCCTTTACCCCCTCTCTCCAACCTTTCCTAGGCTGACCCCTACCCCGCCTTCCTTCCACTACAGACTGATACACTCT